ACCTATAGAACTATTTTTTGGAATGATTTAGAGCCGAAAAGGTTTTAGGCCCATTTATAGATATCGAAAACCAATTTTCAGAGAAAATTTTATATAGTTTTACACTACTTAACAATTCAAACACTTTAGAAGGAATAAATATGGATTTAAATATAAAGGTATAAAGGTAAGTATCGATAATTCTTGACAAATCACAATGTCGTAGGGGACTGAACATTGGAAATTAATACCATAGAAACTATTTTTTATATGGTATAAAATCCTACAAACTCAATTATTTCATTCTTTTTTTTATAAAAAAATCTAACGCAAACGATTTCAAATATTTTGCATTTTATATTTATTTTTCGTTTATGGTATTGATTCCAAACTCTAAACCCCCTATTGCGTTACGATTTGTCATGAATTTTCGGTGCTTATTGGACTTTTTCTATTTAATTTTACTTATTTTAGCATATTTTTAACATTCATCAAAATATCTCGATGTTTAATTCCACTTTTACTCATTCTAAGGTGTTAGAATTGTTAAGTAGTGCAAAATTTTTAAAAGAAATGAAAAACAATCATTTTTTAAATATTTCGTTACATACCCAATGCATTATAATAACATGTTTCTATTATTTTTTCCAACACCTATTTCACATAAATTTTAATAAAAATTTCCCGAGTCAAAAAAACTATAATAACTGAACAACAGAAGAAAATATACATAAAAAGCTTTCATATGAGATATTGATCATCAAATTCTATCATATAGTTTGACGGAAAATAGATTTTCCACTGAAAAGTTTTCATGTTTCTATTTTTTTGCCGGCACTGTATGTCATTTTAAAGGCCTCATTACAATTTTTTCTATAAATGGTAATGAAATTTTAATGCTAAATGAAAAATTCCCATGTATGATATATGTACATTAGAGTGAGTGTCCCGATGAACAACCTTTTTAAGAATTTCAAGTAGGAATACCTCTCAATCGATGCGTATTAATGTACTGAACACCAGAAAAATAAAAAATATTTTTTTTCCCTACATGCGATTGAAAATCCTGACCTGAGTATAATTTGTGAAAAATAAAGTATTTTCGATTATTTTGAAATGGGTCTCAAAAATTCCGTAATTTTGAGCTGATTAAGGGGAAAGTAATTTTAAAATTTTTGTAGAGTATTTTTGCTCCATAAAATGATTTTAAGTTGGTTGGAGAGGCACATTGTCGTTGTTTTTAGTTTATACAGAGAATTATTAAAAAATAAGGTTTGGTATTTGGTTTGGTACATTTTAGATTATTTTGAAATTTATATACCCCTCATAATACACTAAAAGTCGTTTTGCGAACCAGGTGTAATAGTGTAACAAATTTTAATTATTGTTCCCGCTATAAGCTCATAATTTTGGAATTTTTGAGACCCATTTCGAAAAGATTGCAAAAAATATTTTTTGAGCATATTGTACTGAGATCAAGATTTTCAATCGTTGGTAGGGAACTGAGGGCCTTTTCAAAAAAATTATTTTTTATTTTTCTCTTATCTAGCACATTAATACGCATCGTTTGTGAGGTATTCCCCCAAAAAAGTTGTCCACGGGACATCCCAATGTACATATATGTAGATGGAGTGACTCAAACCCAAAATCAGACATGATTTTTATTATTTTTAATTAAATAAAAAATATTTTAAAAATGATTTTTTTGAGATTTTAATAATTGAAGCATGGATGCGAATAAGGGCGTAAAGACCACTTTTCCCAAATTGCGTTTTTCGACGGTATAGTCTTCTTTTGGTCTATTTACATCTATTCTTGAAGAGATAAATTGAAAAATCCAAAGTTTTTGCCAAAATATTTAGCACGTTTTTGTAATATTATTTTTTATTTAAGGTAAAAAAATCAGAATCATCAAGTATTTTTTGTTAAAAATCGTATAAATAATTATTATAATTGCATCAAGTTTACAGAATAGGAGGAACACATTTCAATTCCATGAATTCCTTAAATATATTGCAAAAAAAAAAAAATATTTTAATATTAATCTCAATATGGACAACAAAAAGGGCAAATATCCATAAATATAAGTATGTATGTATATATTAACCGTCTTGTCTATACCCGAGGAAAATTACGTACATCAATACCCAACATACAATGGCCGGGTATGTCATACAATTTATATGGCTATTTCATCTTTTTATACATTTCTAGTGTATAATTCAGATAAATATTACAACTAATTTAATAAAACGCATGTATAAATAAATTAAATAGTTTTTGACCACATACAATTAAATTTTAGGATTTTTTTTAAGTTTTCTTATTATTTTCCTAATTATGTACAAAAATATCATATGCAAAAAACCCAAAGGAAACGCCTAAATAACGTATAATGCACATTATGCATAATTTGACTTTGTAAAATTTTGACTTCGAGAAGCTATTACTCAGTGACCGGGAAAGATAATTGAACAAATTTGTTCTATATTATTTAAAAAGGTATACAAAATCAATTAGCATTAAAGAAATTGTTTGTGCTTTCGTTAGTAAGGATCGTTAGCAAAAAAAGATTGCTAAGTCATGGTCAAAAATTAAAAATTGAAAATTCAAACTTAAATATTTTTGTTTATATAAGAAGAAAATTATTATAATCGGTATAATTTTACTTCTCTAAGTCATATACAATAAAAAAAAATTATTTCAACAAAATCAGTCCATATTTGTAAATGTTACATAAATATTTCACATTCCAATTTATGAACAATGACACATGACTCTGTATTTGAAACAAACTTTGTTAGTTAGCTCAATTTTTTTTCATAAGATACAAGAATATATATAATTCTAATAATAAAACATAAAATTTATAATGAAACTTAATTTTTGTCCGATAACTGACATATAATTTTTATACATACCCGGGTATGTTGGGTATTGATGTACGAGGTAAAAATAGAAAATCGGTCATAAATCGGTTTAAAATATATATATCTAACTAATTTTTTGAATTTATAGCAAACATTACTCTGAAAGCATAGTCCAAATTTCAAGTCGATACGATATATAGATGTCGAGATATATCACTTCAAAAATGAAAAACATACCCGGGTATATGGGTATTGACATAACGGTTAACAAGACAATTTTTGAGTTTTTAAACAGTTTTAACAGTAAGAAGGTTTTCGTCCTTATAAGGCATTGAAGTAATAATAATAACTATAGTCTACATTGTCCAGACCTCTAACTCCAAAATATTGGAAATTTAAGGTATAAAAATAGCAAAATATTGGTTCAATTTTTTGTCCTTTAATAATATTAAAGGATAATTAAGGACTTCCTTGAAACTTAAGCAAATTATACTATGGTCTCTTATGTTGATGCTGTCCAAGTTTTATCCAATTTAGTTGATAAGTACATCAAAAATCATTTATTTCAGAACATATTCAACAAAAATATATGGATATAGGCCCTTATTCCATTTTAGCAAAATTTCATGTGTCGATTTTTCCAAGTTGTGATTTGAATTTTTTACTGAAATTTTTCAGAGGGATAGATATGAATGATATCTGAGGATTTATTTAAAAAGTTTATCAAAAATATATTATTTAAAAGTCTTATGATGTTTTTATGCTCTCCTGTATAATTTCCCAAATGGTTTATACACCCTTATTCGGCTCCATGCTTCAATTGTATGATTTAAGTGTCATACTCTAGCTTATAATTCTGATACAAATTTGTAAAAGTTTCTATTTCTTATAGAAATATTCTACATTAAAGAAGAAAAAAAATTTTAAAGTCAAGCGCAAAATCAGACAAATAATTTATGTTCAGATTTTTCTACGATTTTGCATCTTTAACATTAAAAATGTATACAGTTCTACTCTAGCTCCAGCGGCGATTTAGAAACTATAGAAATAAGGAATCTTAATATTCGGATAGGAGGAAATATAAAATCTGTAAAAAATATAAGTAAAATCGTGGGTGAACGACTTCTTGGACAATTGACTGCGTGCTTGACATAATTAGAATGTATGGCAATGAAAATAATTTGAAAATAAAGGCGTCAAGGTCAAGGAATGAAAATAAATAAAAGTAGAGCCCGTACATTACTCGAGGTGATAAAAAATTCGCCAAAAATATACTTTTGGGCTATAAAAGAATGTTGAAATCAGTATGTAAGTCACCCTGAGCACGCTTATAAATTTTCTATGATCAAGTTTTAAAAATGGTAAAAGTATAACTTTACGTTTAAATGTATCTATTGTCTCAATCATGATACAACCATACCTTTTAATAATGTCATGGACGCATTCAGTTGCCCACGAAAGATTTTACTTATAGGTATTTGGTACAGATTTCATTTTTCTTCCTATTCGAATAAGATGCCTTATTTCTATAGTTTCTCGAAAAAGATATTCGTTGATATGTAGTACTCTCGTAAAATTAAAAAGAGTTTGATTAATAAATAATATTTCATATTATACACGAAATTTTCGTAAATATTACGAAAAAAGTAGTTACGATTTTTTTTTTTTTTTTCATAAATTTAAGCATGGATTATTTTCTGTGATTGTTGAAAAATATGGAAACAGATTTATGAGTATTGGATTTTTTTTGCAATTTTTAATGAATTTCAAAGAAAATAAGTCAAAATTCACTAGTTATGAATATTTCTACGTAATTCTCTTAACTACAAATATTTTGTTGACGGTACAGGATTTTGATAGAAATCAATAAACCATTTTTCGACCGAAATTCATTAACCGTTACAAATCGGTCGATTTGATATCGCATACTAAACTACATCAGTAGTATCACTTTTCTCATATTTATTTCCCATCTCTGATATTGTCGCTAGGGTGTTGTAAATAAATTTATAAATATTTGCATATCATTAATGGCTTATGAATGCATGTCTGAACATGATTTGTTTTGTTAAAACATGTTTTATTTAAATTAAGTTTATCCCAATACAACTCATACAAGCTGAATGCAGTCAGATTTTATCATATCCTTACCTGTACCATGACAGCTATACGCAAATCATCCTGATCGATTTTGGTCTTACATCCTTTGCAGCTTGCTCTGCCAGTTTTAGAATATTCAGCTTTGTATGGTAAATCAATATCCATTTTTAATTTAAAAACAAAACAATAGTAAACAACTAATTAATTTAACGAAAACGCAACAACACCAGAAGACAATTTATTTCACAACTTGCTTTTATTATACCCGCGAACACAAAAAGCAAACCGGCGTCTATAGTGATGCCAGTTTCACTGTTGTCAGCACAGTTACCAGATTTCACTGTCAAAATTGGACTGTTGACGATTTGACGATTTTAACTCTTAATTTGAAGATTTTTTAAAATAGGATTTTTGTACTAAATTATATACATTTTATCATTTTCTATCTATAATTTTAAAGAAAATCGATGTATTTAAAATATCCAATGAAAATGTTAATAAAATTACGTAATAACGAACTCAAAATTTGTTGAGAATTTCTCTTTTTTTGGGCCGGCACTTAGGGGGTAGTGGGAAGAAGGATAAAGGGAGTAGTATTTTTGGACATTTGATTTAAAGGAGGAAATTTGTTTTGTATACGAATAATTGAAACATTTATCCCCTTATTCACAAACAACACTTTTATTTTATAAAAGGTTTATAAAACAAAATTTCCATACAAAATCTAATTTATAAACTGTTTATAAAATTTGTTTGTGAATAAGGGGGTTAATATACATACATTTACTAGAGATCATACCAAGTTAGTTTGCAAGAACTCAATGTAAAGTATTTTAAATCATATTTACCAAATTAAACAGATAATAAACAAATGCATTCGTATTTCAGCTATGTGTGGAGGAAGAACGTCGTGCGTCGTTGCCATTATCGCTTAAGGGGAATCAGGCCGTCCTTTTTGCGCTGCCTTCTAGAGTTTTACGTTTCAAACCACATTGGTCAAATGTGTGACATCAAATAACTGTACCGAGTTGCGGTTTTTTGAGGTGCATGCTGACCATATGCATTCGTGTTAACTTAACCTAAGTTTTAATATTGATTATGGTGGAAAATCAAAAAAACAACAAACAAAACTAAAATCTATCGAAATTGATAAACATTTCTCGATAGTCAAAATAATTACTATAAAATCATAAAAATACCATCAAACATGTACATATATTATATAAATGGAAAATAGCTTTGACGATTTAATGACGTTTTCAAAAATCACGATTTTTTCCACGAAATTTGACGATTTTACACCCAAATCATCTGGCAACTATGGTCAGATTATGATTAGGGTTCTATAGTTGAAACGAAAAGTCGACTTTTCGACTTTTCGACTTTTTGCATTTAGTTAAAAGTCGACTTTTCGACCTTTCGACTTTTTCCATTTTATGAAAAGTCGATTTTTCGACTTTTCGACCTTTTTCATTTATTTAAAAGTCGACTTTTAGACTTTTCGACTTTTAGTATTTTATAAATGGTCGACTTTTCGACCTTTCGACTTTTCGACTTTTTCCGACTTTTTTCGACTTTTCGACTTTTTCCGACTTTTTTCGACTTTTCGACTTTTTCCTACTTTTTCCGACTTTTCGACTTTTTTCGACTTTTCGACTTTTTTCGAATTTTTCCGACTTTTTTCGACTTTTCGACTTTTTCCGACTTTTCGACTTTTCGATTTTTTACGACTTTTTGACTATTTTCGACTTATTTCGACTTTTTTTCGACTTTTTTCGACTATTTTTTTACTTTTTTCGAGTTTTTCCGACTATTTTAGAGTTTTTGATCACTTTTCCACTTTTTAAAATTTTCGACTATTTCCGACTTTTCGACTTTTTTCGACTTTTCGACTTTTTCCGACTTTTCGACTTTTTCCGACTTTTCGACTTTTCGACTTTCTTCGACTTTTTTCGACTTATCGACTTTTTTCGACTTTCCGACTTTTCGACTTTTTTCGACTTTTATTTACAAAGTCGACTTTTCGACTTTTTTCATAGACGATAGTCGAGTTATCGACTTTTTTGGAACAAAATAGTCGACTTCGACTTTTCGACTTTTTTCGACAAAAAGTCGATTGTTCGATTATTCGAAAGTCGATTTATAGAACCCTAATTATGATTTCATAATTAGTAATGTCAACACAGTGCTTTTAAAAGTCCTATATATATACTCTACAATAGCGAAGATTTTTGTTGAAATTTGATGGCACGCGTGATAGGGTAAGAAAATTCTGCCGACGCTACTTTGATACACATACACCATAAGTTTATATTTTCTTCTTCCTTTAATTGGTTTGCTCTCAACTTGAAAAACAAAATCAAATTACGCACATAAAGAAAACAACCCGACGAAAAATAAAACAAACCGTAACAGCTGTTTTATAAAAATAAACATTTTTTTGGTGTGGTGAGTTATTTTTGTTTACAAATATGTGTTTCGTTTTCATTATTTACATTTTCAACATGTGCTTATGCACGTGGAAAAGATTCAAAAAAATTGATTTTCATGATTTAATTTAAAAAAATTATTTTTGATCAATTAAAATATGTATATAAATGAGGAAAGGAACAAATCTGATAAAATATAAATATATTTGGGATTATATCGTTACAGAATGCCTTTTAATAAAAAACATTCAAAAATGTTACTATGGTCATATATAGAAAATGATATATAAATGCTATCGGACGATCTTGTGCACGATAAAAACCTATATAGAACTTTAAGTTAGAAGTGTGGAAATCGGATGGTATACATTTTTTCCGGATTTCATCGTACTACAACAACAAACTTTTTTTCACAAAAAATTATACTATGGCAGTATATAGAAAATGATATATAACTACTATATATAGAACTTGAGAAATGATATATAACTATAAAAACATATATAGAACTTTAAGTTGGAAATATAGAAATCAGATGGTATAATCTGTTGGCGATTCTATGTAGGGTCAACTGTGGACCGACCCTTACAAAATACAACGGATAGATTTTGTTTCATATAAAACTTGTTAATGTCGAATTTTATCGCTATACATTTTTTAAGCCAGTTATGAGCGTTAGTCCCCAGGTGGACCATATGTCGGGGATAGGTTAAATTTTGGACCGATCCTTATAAAATTTGACAAAACGGTTTTGACTCCTTGTTTATGTTTGGTATATTGGTATTTTTATTCCAATAATTACAGTTATTATCTTTTTCTGTTCAAGCTAGTTTTGAATGTTAAAATCATTTTCTGTGTGGGATCTTATATGGGGCCAAAACGATGTTTGTTCCTAAAATTATATGTGGAATTATATATGGAATTTTGTTACTATACGGGCATTTTGAATCATATTATTAGAGTTTCAATCATTGTGTGGGACGTTATATGAGTGTTGGTGAAATCATAGTGTGGGACGTTATATGAGTGTTGGTGAAATCATAAAAATATTTTAGCAAATATTGACTAGATCGTCTTAGACTGTAATAAAAACCCAGCCTATTCTTTTATGGATCCAAGACTAATATTTTGTTGTTACAAACGCAATAAAAAGTCCCTTGACTCCCTGATGAGTGTAGTGTCTTCCAAGCTCTGGGAACACTTTAGGTTGATAACCATGCTGCACTGAAAGCATTAACATGTCGAAGATTTATTCTTGCATAGTCGTAGAAATAAGAAAAGATCTAAGTGTTATTATGAGACCGTTTACAATAAGGCTGTTACCCAGGACCGTGCAATGTACACAAATGAGGCATCTGGCAAATTGTCAAGATGAGGCTCGTATCATGACCCACATAAAAGTAACAAGGTCTTATAGGTTGACCTCCTATGGATTCTGTGGCCCTATCATTCTTGGAATAGTAGAATGAATTGCACATTATATATGGCATTTTTGACAAGGCCTGATGTGAAAGCAACCGGGATAGATGATGTACTCCTAGAACACTGACACTGACTATAAAACATTTTATGTATTCAAATACATATATTTTTCTTAGCGCAAAATGAATTTGTTTAGTAATTTGTTTTTGTTTCATTTGTTTCGTTTTTACAGAAACTCACCACACAACAAACAAAAACAGCTGTTAGGGTGTGCTGTTTTATCAAAAGGTTGTTTTATTAACGGGTATCATATAAAAGAAAATTGAGAAAAGCCCAGGGGGCAAAAGTGTCATGTAAAAGAGGACTAAATTAAGCGTAGTTGATACTTAGCAGGCTTACAGTCGATTTTAAGCCGCCGCCGATGTTTTTAGTGTCAGCCGCCGCCGCCGTTAATATTTGTCGGCGCTGACTGAATTATCCAGTCAGACTTTTTGTTGTATTTGGGAAATTGTTTGTTAAAAAGGAGAGTTTATCAATATTACAATATTATATTAGTCATTTAATAATAAACTTTTACATATTAAAAATTAATAAATTATAATGGCGTATATGCAGCAAGCCCAAATGCCTGACCAGCAATTTTTATGGGATGTGTTTCAGCGGTAAGTGGGTTTTTCCTGGAAATCGAATTGTGAAATTATACTTGAGTAACAGATAGCACAAAATTTTAGAGTGGACAAAGATCGCAGCGGCTACATATCGGCCGATGAATTACAAGTTGCTTTATCCAATGGAACGTGGAGTCCATTTAATCCTGAGACTGTTCGTTTAATGATTGGCATGTTCGATCGCGAAAATCGGGGCACAGTTTCGTTTCACGATTTTGGTGCTCTTTGGAAGTACGTTACGGATTGGCAAAACTGTTTCCGATCATTTGATCGTGACAATTCCGGCAACATTGATAAAACTGAATTAAAGACAGCACTCACATCTTTTGGTTATCGGCTTTCCGATAATATTATTGATTTGTTGCTCCGTAAGTTTGATCGTTTTGGTAGGGGAACAATCTTATTTGACGATTTCATTCAATGCTGTATTGTGCTATACGTAAGTACTAGGAAAAATTAGTTATTTTATTTCTATATCTGGAATATCTTTTATTTATAGACATTGACATCTGCATTCCGCCAACATGACACAGATATGGATGGCGTCATAACTATTCATTATGAACAATTTTTAAGCATGGTATTCTCATTAAAAATTTAATACGAATCTTTGACATTGACGTTGATATATGTTAACCTAGTAATCATTATTAACGAATTCAAAAATAATCAATAGTCTCAAGCTCTATATTCCTACGACCGCCTTATGGTGCCAAATACTGAATACGTACGAACAATACTAAAATTGTTACAATCATAGATTTTTTTAATATTAGTATGTATAGTGTCCCATTTGATTTTTTCTGACCGAGAATTATTGAGATTTATTGCTTTTTTTTATGTGAGAACGCTACCCAGCAAAAAAAAGTGAGGAAAAAGATGTAGAATTTTCACCACAAATAACATACTTCCAATTTTGGTGAAAAACCTATGAATTTTACATTAGCGTATCATTGGAGGGATGTTGTTCAATTTTGACAACTTTGAACTGCATCTAATCTTATTTTTAGAAGCAGTAAAAATCCGATATTTGGATGTCAAAAATAAACCACATTCTTTCAATGACATGCTTATGTAAATTTCAGTGGTTTTTCACCAAAGTGTGATGTACTTCAAATATGTCATTTGTAGTGACTTTTTTACATCTCTTTCCTCACTTTTAACTGGGGTTTCATTTGTAAGGAAATATTAAAGCGAAAAATATGTAATCGCATTTTTGGATGTGATTAAGATGTCTTTTGTAAAGGATGACATCAATTATTTTTTGCTGGGTAAGCTTAAAAAATTTTGTATTACAACATGGAAAAATAAATTGCGAATGAAGTTTTGCCGTGATTAACTAAGGGCAAAGTTTACTTTTTAAAATGAAAATAATAGTTACTTTTCACATATTGAGCTCCTTATTATGAACTTATTTATACAACGGTTTCTCGAAAAGACATTGGGTCACTATTAACATACTAACTACGTATACTTAAAAATGAATCAAAACTATTTTAAATTGTAAAAAAAATATGAATCTTTTTTATGTCTTGTTAAGTAATATTTTTGGGTTAACCGTATTTTAATTATTTGTATTTACTAAGTATTGTAAAAGTTAAAGAAAAATAAAATTTATTTCATTTTTCATATTATAAACACAATTTATAAAATTTTTTTATTTGCTTTGTTAGTTTTTAAATTTGTAACTGAATTTTTTTTAAACAGTTCAAATATGAAATGAAACCATGCAATAAAATTCGATGTTATTTTGGAAATTATTTAATGCGAAGATTCGAAAACGTTTTAATGCGAAGATTCGCATTAATGTGCAATATTACTTCGCGATTTCACTTGTGCCTTTTATAAAATGTCTCCTGGAAACAATTTTTACACTCAATTATTAAATATTACGCAAATTATTTTTAGAAAACTCTCTTATATATGGCATAAAAAAGCACAACAATCTATTTATATAGCGAAAAAATTCTACACAAACAAGTTTTATCCCAATCTATGAATATTTCTAACAAATTTCATGGAAAGTAATATCGTGTTGTTGTTACCCCTCTTAAAATTTATATAAACAATTTCCATAATAGTTTAAGTCTAGCGATGACCAATTATAAAAAAGGTATTTTTTAAATATTTTCTAACATTTTTTAAAATTTATTTATATTTTCGATACAATATATTCAATATGGGTTATATAACAGTTAGAGTCCTCAAATTTTGTCGGAGCCACTTTAGTGTCAATATGATTATTTAGGGTAAAAAGTGGGCGGACTAGCATTACAGGTCGTGGCACCTCCCATATAAATTAAATACAAAAATTCGTTTATCTTGGAAACTATTATACACTCAAACCTCGTTTTATGCGAATTTATTTTATGCGAATTTGAATTAGTGCGGTTTCAAAATTCTAAAATTTTTCTTTGCAAAAATGATTTAAGGAAGATTTTGTTCCACATACATCCAAAAAAAATTGATCAACAAAGTACAACTACTGATTTTTTACCAATTCCGGTTCGGATATATAAAGTATGGTTCAAATCCTTTGTACATGAAGAAATATTAAGTTTTATTTTTATGAAATGTTGTATACACAGAAAAAAGTTTCAGCATAAATATTATGAACTGCTTTCATTGACTAAAGTTAAGGTATTTTCAAACTACAATACTGAGTATTAATACTTGTCAAAAATGTTTGTATCATAATACAATTTACTAGTCTAAATATAATTTATAATTTGATTTTCAAAAATATTACTGATTTTTTTGGCATACGGTCGGTATTCATAAATTTTTTAAAACAATTCAAAAACTTTTTATTTTCAAACGTATTCGGTAGGTATTTTATAAATACAATAAAAAACAAACAAAAAGTGTAAAATACATTAAAAATAAGAACGAAAAGTGCATAAACAATTGAAAATTGGATAAAAAATATTACAAATATTATAGTGTAAACATAAAATGTATTTTTCGGATTGATGTTTTGAAAATGCGAATTATTTTCATAATATTTTTAATTTGAAGTGTGTTAATACTCAGTATTGTAGTCTGAAAATACCTTAAATTGTATGAATTTTTTCATTTTTATATTTTTAAACATAATCTAGAAGCCTTGACTTAAAATATTAAAAATTTTCTTTATATTTTTCTGTTTGTTAAAAAATGTTTGAAATTTTCTTTAGAAAATTTTTTATTTCTTTATGATTTTTAGATTGAAAACAATGAAATATGCGCGTAACATGCAGCATTTTCTGAAGAATGGATGTTTAGCTATATGCTGGTTTTTTTATTTCATATTTTGTTTTCCAGCATTTTTATTTATTTATCATAAAAATACGCTAATATGTGATTATTTTCTAAAAAATGGAAGATATTAATAGGTAACGGTTATTTATTTATTTATTGCATTTTTGATGAAAATCAAAGAAAATGAACAAAAAAACAAAAAAATCTTTCATGTACAAATTCATACATTTTATGAACTTTTAATATTCTGAATGAAAATGGTTTGGGAAAAAAAAGTCATGTTCGATTCATTCAATTTATTTCAAAATTCATTCCAAATATGTATTATTTTTTTTTGTGTATTTTCTTCATTATTTGGAATTGGTATTATTTTGTTGTTTGTTTCCTTTATTTTTCTTTATTTTTTATAATTTTAGTAAAGAATTAAATTTTTTTTGATTTTTTATATGCGATTTTGTTTGACTTTTATGGGAATAATTTGAAAATGTGCGCCTTTTTATCTAAAACCCAATTAGTGGATTTTGTATGGAGCTAGTGTATCGTTTTGTGCGAATTTGAATTATGCGCTTTTTTGTAAAACGAATTAATCGCATAAAACGAGGTTTGAGTGTAGTTAGAATCTTAAAATTTTGCACGAATAACTTTAACATTCATGTAAACATTTTTTAATAAATTGGCGGACTACCCATGAGGGGAGCAGCACCTCCCATATTAATTAAATACGAAAATTCGTTTATCTGGGAATCTAATAGAACTAAATTCTTAAAATATTGCACCCCATCTGGGGGTGTTGGAGCCCCCATATGAATAAAATAGAAAAATTAGTATATCTCGGAAACTATTAGAGCTAGAATCTTTAAATTTTACTTGAAGAACTTTGAAATTCATCTGAACATTTAGAGTATAACGGTGGACTTCCAATGGGGTACTTGGTACCTCCCATATGAATTAAATACAAAATTTCGTTTAACTGGGAAACTAATAAAACTAGATTCGCGACAAGGTTTCCGGATTAAATCACGTAAATTTTCAACTTTTCTACGCTGATACAGGGTCTCGACCGAAAACATGTATCTTATGTCACAAGAACTTATGTTTTCTCCTCTCAACAGGATTATCCACATCTCGACCACAAGGTCGTGGCAACATATACCTTGCATCTGTTTACCTGCCTTTCGATTCTCCGACACTAACACCAACGTCATAGCTGATGAATCTGTTCGAAGAGGCACAAAGGAAAAATAAGAAAATTGTAATAGGTTGTGATGCCAACTCCTACCATGTAGCTTGGGGTAGTACAAACACCAATCGCAGGAGACAAGCTCTTATGGATTTCCTTAATACTAAAGACCTGATCACATCGAACTTAGCTACCTTCGTCAATAGAATCAGAGAAGAAGTATTAGATATAACTATATGTTCAGAAGAGCTTGTAAACGAAATTCAGGATTGGAGAGTTTCGGACGAGCACTCCTTTTCTGAACATCGGTACATAAGATTCAAAATACTACGGCCGCCACCAAAGCCGATAAAGTTTCGGAATAAGTCAAAAACTAATTGGACAATGTTCGGTTCCTTACTAAAGAACCGTTTATGTCAGGACACTTTTCAATGTCGAAATAAAGAGGACATAGAAGCCATAGTAGAAATGCTCACAAGTGCGTTGGTTGAATCGTTCGAGGACAGCTGCCCTCTGCGACAGCGGAGATCTGCCCAGGAGAAACCCTGGGTAACCGGGGAGATCCGGAACCTTGGTAAGATGAGTATCGTGGTGAATATTTTTGTGAATATAAGCCAATAGAGACTCCTGGAAACTTTTCTGTGAATAGGTAGACAGCGTAAATGACGTATCGAAGAAAAAAATTCCTATCCAAAACTCATGTCCAACCAGAATCTATGGTCGATGATACGAGCAGGAGGATATGGAGGAGACAATGAAACTCCTATTTACCGATAGCCAGAAGGCAATTAGGGCGATATTAGGCGATAGAACTAAATCTAAGACCGTATTGGATTGTATGAAAGTTTTAACTGAAAGTTTTAACTCTCACAGAGGTAAGGTTCACATCATATGGCTACCAGCCCACTCGGGAGTAGTCGTAATGTAATAGCTTTAAAGGGTAGGGATCTGGAGGCAGTTAACCTGACAAACGCGAAACCATTCGACGCAACAAAAGCTGAACTAAAAATATGGGTGAGAGAATCCCATAAGGCCTCTTGGAATAATGAAACAGTGGGTAGAACCACAAAGATCCTATGGGGTGACCCTGATGAGAGCAACACGAAAAATCTCCTTTTTTTATTCTGAGTGGACACACAGGATTACGAGCACATCTATGCAAAATTGGCGGATTCAGACGAATGTAGGTCATGTGGAGAGGGCAGTGAAACTCTGGCACTTTCTCTGCCACTGCCAGGCATTCGTCGAAGTTAAATCCAAGTATCTTGGAAGTGATGTTATTCCGGAAATAACATTCCTGACTAACACTGATTGGAAGATTCTTAGGAATTACGTTCAGGAAACTGAGTTTACGAACACTGAAAAATAATTAATTTAGTTCCTTTTTTCCATGATAAGGAGCGCACAACAGGCCCGATAGTGGCCTAGGTGTATTTCTTCGGATTTGATGTAGTAGACATCCTCCTATCAACCTACCTAAATATCATATACACTGGCGGTATGCATTTACATCGAAGGCGCCCTCAATAACGTGCACACTGATACTCTTATCCAATCCCTAGACCAGTTTTATGTTGACCGGGTACTCCGTAACTGGATCAACCATCGGGTGCTCCGTAACTGGATCAACCACCGGGTGCTCCGTAACTGGATCAACCACATGCTAAGGAACAGATGGATAAGCTACGAGATGTACGATATAACTATCAGGAAAGAGGTATTTCGCGGTATACCACAGGGTGTCATTTTGTCACCTTTACTCTGGGTTACCACGATTAAAAGCCTCCTAAGGACCCTAACCGAGAAAGGACTTAGACTTGTCTGCTATGCAGACGATGTCGTAATACTTTTAAAGGGAAAGGATCCAAATTACTTATGTAGAAGAGCTGAGGAGGCTTTGAATACGGCCTTGAGCTGGGCCCAACCGAGAGGTCTAAATGTTAACCCGGCAAAAACGGAAATCTGTCTTTTCACAAGAAAGACAAAAATTTCTACGTATACTGAACCTTGCTTCCTGGGCAAGAACATACCAGTGACAGACAAAGTTAAGTATTTAGGTGCAATCCTCGACCGGAAATTACACCACATAGAGGATAGGATCAACAAGGCACATCAGTGCTGGGCGATATGTAGGACAACTATAGGCATGAAATGGGGTCTTAGTCCTACTATGACAAATTGGCTTTATAAAAGTGTAATTCTAGCTTATGCTTCAATAATCTGGTGGACTGCTTTGGACAAAAAGTGTAATATCAAACTACTACAGGGAGTTCAGCGTACATGCTGCTTGGGTATAAGTGGTGCCATGTGTACTACTTCAACCAAGGCTCTGGAAACGTTGCCAGATATTCCACCCATTGAAACATATATGAGATATGAGGCGGCGCTTACATCCGAACGGCTCTTTACTTTAGGCGAACTGGCCAAAAACGGTTATAGCACACGTCATCAATGTATACTGGACACATTGGAATGGTATACACATTCATCGGACGTGCCTGATCGTATATCAGACACAGAATATGTCGGAAACTTTGAAACGCTGATCCCAGATAGAATGTCTTGGTCAAGCGGAACACGGATGGCTCTAAATTGGGGGACAAAGTGGGGCTGGGGTTCTATATTAAAGACCCAGAAACAGAAATATACCACCGTTTACCAAATCATAACACAAGCTTTCAGGCAGAAGTACGAGCAATAACGGAATGCGTAAATTGGATTAGAATAAATATGGCGCCCACAGCGCTTAATATGTATATTTACCGATAGCCAGAAGGCAATTAGGGCGATATAAGGCGATAGAACTAAATCTAAGACCGTATTGGATTGTAAGAAAGCTTTAACTGTATACTCTCCCAGAGGTAAGGTTCACATCATATGGGTACCAGCCCACTCGGGAGTAGTCGGCAACGAAAGGGCGAATGTAATAGCTTTAAAGGGCAGGCAGTTAACCTGACAAACGCGAAACCATTCGACGCAACAAAAGCTGAACTAAAAATATGGGTGAGAGAAACCCATAAGGCCTCTTGGAATAATGAAACAGTGGGTAGAACCACGAAGATCCTATGGGGTGACCCTGATGAGCGCAACACGAAAAATCTCCTCAAAATGAGTAAGTCGGAAGTTAGTATGATGGTACGTATTCTGAGTGGACACACAGGATTACGAGCACATCTATGCAAAATTGGACCTGCGGAATGTAGAGCATGTCGAGAGGACAGTGAAACTCTGGAGCACTTTCTTTGCCACTGCCAGGCATTCGTCGAAGTTAGATCCAAGTATCTTGGAAGTGATGTTATTCCGGAAATAACATTCCTGACTAACACTGATTGGAAGATTTTTAGGAATTACGATCAGGGAACTCAGTTTCTGAACACTGAAAAATAATTCATTCAGTTCCTTTTTTTCATGATAAGAAGCGCACAACAGGCCTAGGTGTATTTCTTCGGATTTGATGTAATATACATCCTCCTATCAACCTACCTACCTACCTAATAGAACTAGATTCTTAAAATTTTACATACATTTCTTTAATATTCATCTGAACATTTTGGAGGAAATCGAATATCCTTCTATTGGAACAATAAGATGCTTATTTTTACAGTTCCTTGGCCGGCACTGGAGCTATGTTCAAGTAAGCACCATAAAATACACAATAGAGTAGGTTAGGTAGGAAGGGTAGCCACTCAAACAAGTTTAAGTGTATTTTCCTATAAAAAAACTACTCACTACTTCCAGAGTTCGATTCACGAAATATAGGATATTCTTTAAATTTATCCCGGATGTAACCTCCATACAAGAGAGAACAGCAGATCCAAAATAAAGTTCCCTGTTCCCATTAAATGTAGGACAGTAGCAGAGGAGATGAGATATAATCTCCTCCTCATTATGACATCTTCTGCAGTAGTCATTGTACTGGAGACCCATTCTTCTGGCATGATTGCATATAACACAGTGTCCCGTAATTACCGATAGCAGCGTTCTAATTTGCTCCCGATTTCTCAATAGAGTAGAACTGAATACATTTTTAATGTTTGATTAGAAATCAGAAAAATCTGAATATAAATTGCTTGTCCGATTTTGCGTTTGACTTTAAAATGTTTATGTTTTATGTTATCTCCAATGTAGGATATTTCTATAAAAAAGGAAATGTTTGGTAATTTGTATCAGAATAATAAGCTATTATATCAACTTTTGTAATCTAAAATTTTGAATGGCGCCGCATATAGCAAGCACAGTGCCAGTGTAACAATCCAAGAAGCCTTGTCCAAGAAATACCGAATCGACCTATACCTTTGTGTAGGAAGCCGGATCGCTCAGACTTAGCTAATGAGTTTTATGGTCTCCACCAAAATCCAATGAGTTTTATATGGTTCTTCATCATGTATCAAAGTGTATCATGTATCACTACCGCAATGCGGTCTTATTACAATTAAGAGATAATGGCAATGAAGCACGATGATCTTTCTTCACCCAGAGCAGAGCAAATATGGAAAACCACATTATCATAATTTAGAAGTTGTTAAAAAAGTTCATGCACCAAACGCAATAAAGTTTTTCATTACATATTTTCAATTATTTTACATTTTATTCCTTTATTAAGTTGTTTTCATAATTAACTAGCTATACCCAGTGTGCTTTGCTACCCTAAAAGCAATATGTATATACAAAACACCCACTTAACGATTTTGAAGATTCTAACTACAACAGTTTTCCAGATTTACAATATGTTACATATGAGAGATGTCAAGCAAATTATTGCAAGTTCGCCAGTTTCTATCTATCGCCAATTTCTATCCATCTATGAAAAATTTGAATAATATAAGAGTTTCCAAGATACACGAAATAAAATTGTATTTAATTCATATATGTGGTGCCAAGCCACCCATTCTACTACTACTCGTCTACTCTTTGCCAAAGATTACATAAACTGGTCGAATTAATATGAAATAATGTCCTTTTTGGACGTGTCCAAATTCAATTTTAGAGGACGTTTGTCATGCGACCAAAGGGGAAAGATACTGGACCCGAAGAATATTAAGTTCAGCGGTGGCAAAATTATGGTATAGAACTGTTTTTCAGGGCAAGGTATTGGTGGAATTCAATTATAAAAATATACTATGTGTGGTATAAGATAGAGATCCATTTAAAAAAACATAAATTATTTCTCCGCTGTGGAAACTAGGGTCCTAGTTTGGAGATTTAAAAACGACAATGACCCTAACAGCCAACTTTTGAGTTGTAATCGAGTGGTTAGACTCGTAAGTGATACCTCTATTGAAGTGGCCTGCTTATTTAACAGATGTCAACCCCATTGAAAATCTATGGGAAACAGTAGTTCGAAGATATGGACTCAAAAATCGTCCTTGCAGGTGTAATTGGAGGGACGATTTTTAGGATGCGGTTTAAGGGAATATCAAAATTTTTGGAAGGAAATTTTTGACTCAATTATTGTTCCAATGCATCACCGATGTTAAGCACCAATACAAAGTAAAGGATACCCAACTATAATCTGAGTTACTGACAAGTTCTGACCGTTTTTGTTGCGATAATTGCAAAGTTTCCATTGTTTTGTCAGTAACAGAAAACCAAATACTTTATCTTGTTTTATTTTTTCAAAATTTAATGAATTATTTTCAAGATTCGCAGTGCGTAAAGTTTTATTGTGCTCCAATCGACGAATTTACGCAACAATTTTTTGTGGAATCGTTCGTCGTGCTAAGTGAAATTCGTCGTTCGTCCTAATTGTGCGTATACCAATAACTAATTTTGCGAAATTTTTGGCACACCACCACGGAATCAAAAACATCACGCACAATTTCTGAAATAAACCAACTCTTTTTACCCATTTCATCCCTTTAACGTTCGAGTTTCCAAAAATCCTTTCGTAAAGTTTATAAAGGATTTACAACCTAATTATGCAATTTTCCAAAAAAATATAATGTTAAATATTCTATATTTAAAATTATATTTTGAAGTATATCCGCAGTTATTATCCATATATATAAATATGAATGTGTGTTGTTTGTATGTATGTTTATATGTTTGAACTTTATAGACTACTAGCACCAGTTCCAATGAATTTCGCTGCTAAATCAATGTCACGAGTGACATCGGAGATCTGGAGCGACCAGATTTCTGGCTGTAAAGGGAATGGCGTTGTGTCCTGAGCTGCCAAAGCTTGGTCTTGGCTAATGGCAAATTTCATAACAAGTAGAATGGTAAATTTTACAGAGAAAACATATTCAAAGAAAAGAAAAATGTATGTATATCTCTTCACAAAGATAAAGTTTTTTATTTAAAATGTGTAAAAAAAGTATTTAAAATACTGTTTTTATGTTTTTTTATACTAAAAAACACTTAGAAAAAATATTGCCTAATTACGCTTGTTATGATCAAATTTCATAACAAGTAGAATGGTAAATTTTACAGATAAAACATATTCAAAGAAAAGAAAAATGTATATCTCTTCACAAAGATAAGGTTTTTTATTTAAAATGTGTAAAAAAGTATTTAAAATACTGTTTTTATGTGTTTACATTCTTATGCATTAGTGAAATTTTTTGGAGTCTACGAGTTTTTGCAAGTAATTCTCTTGTTTACAAAATGTGTTGTTGTTTTTACAAATTGTTTTTGCAATTTTTGAAACAAAGCGACGTCAACCTACATTGTTGAATGCTGTTAGGCAACTGAAGATAATTTTTTGTATTTTTACGCTCTTGCTGTGAGTTTTGTTTTCGATCGGGTAGTGTACGTGTGAATTGCCAAAAATCTTTGTAATTTGAACAATATGTACGCGCAACGCTGGTCTAAAGTCTTAGAGCTATTAGAGAGATCGGACTTAGTCTCGTACGGAAGGCTGTTGATGCGAATGCTGGTTAAAGAGCCTGTAAGTATACGAAAGAAACAATTTAAGAATCCGGGAATAGTATACTTACATTTATAATATAGTTTTAATCATCTTTTTTACCGATTAACGCTTGTTTTTGGTCCTTATTTAAATTCCGTAGCCGAACAAATATTCGGCATCTGAAAAAGAACTGCTTAATGCGTACAGGTAGGTCTACAGTTGAACTTTCATTAAGTAAATCTTGACGGGGGTTTGTTCTGTGCTATATTTCTCTGCATTGAGCTGCTTAATGCGTTCAGGTAGGTCTACAGATGAACTTTCATTAAGTAAGTGTTGACGGATGTTTGTTCTGTGCTATATTTCTCTTCCATTGACATACTTCTAAACTTTTTATTTTTTGAAGGAAACAGTTTGATGGTTTTTTTAATGAACCTTTCGATACTTCGCAGATCCAGATATATATTCTAGAGCACACTCTTGAAGAATAAAAATGTCATCTAAATCCGTTTCGTCTAGGACTAAAAAGTGTTCTTCCATCGGGGTATGTGTCGATATCGGAGCTTGGCAATCAAGATGGATTTCTTCCGATACTTCAACAACTTTTGGCAAACTTGTAATTGTAAAATTTGTAGAATTGAACCATTCAGTGTTATCGTTTTCGGTACCATTTAGGTATTCGGTATTTCGTGCTCTGCATTAAATGAAAATAAGATTGTAGAAATTTATATTTATACTAGCATTACCCAGAGTGTATATAGATGTATGTATAGATATATATAAACTTACTCTGTATTTTCTTAATCTAAACTTGAAGTCTTGTGGTGAGGGATGATCGTTCTGTACACCTTTGCTGCGAATCGCACCAAACAATGCTGAAAGACATCTTTGTTAAAATGTATGACATGTCATACTTTTTTACATTGGTATAAACCATTACCAAGGCAAGATTTGTCATTAAAATAAATTTTTGGAAAGGTACATCCATTGGTTGTTTCATCTGTTCCAACTTATTTTCCTTAAGATATAAAAGTTCGCTTTAAAATGACTTATAAATAAAAATAACATACACAACTTACCTTGAAGGGGAGACCGAACGCACAAAGTATACAGAGGTGTCATTTTTGACAATTCAAAAACACTAAAGGGTGATGGTCACACGTCAACACCCTGCCAGCAAATTTGAGTTTAATTTTGGATAAATGAACTAAATTTACACTATTTAGGCTCAACTTCATGTTTCTCAGTGCTAAATAAAAATATTTACAAAAACAAAATACATTATTTTCTAATTTTTATCCCATTTTTGTAAAATTTAAAATCGATCTAATATACCAAAAAGAAACGTAAATGATAATAATTAGATAGAATAAAAATGTATAAAAAGAACACTTTTTAATACACTAACATGATAATTAAGGGCAGAATTAATTTTGCTCACAAAATTTAAAAGAAAAAGTGTTTGTATACATAGCTGCCAGATTTGACGATTTATCGTCATTTTGACGATTCTTCGTTTCAAAAATAGCAAAGTGACGATTTGACGATTTTTTCCTTGAAAATGACGATTTTTGAAAAATTAAAAAAATTAAAGATTTATATATTTTTTTTTTATTTTACAGTGAAAAAAGAAAATTAATATTAAACTTGGAATTCAGTAAAAATAGAATTTATATTATAATGAAAACTAGAAATTAAATTCTAGAAGAGCTATTATAAAACATTCTAAGTCGAAAAAGTGTGTTTTGAGTTTTAAGCTTTCAAAGCTTAAACATATTTTGCATCTAAATGTGTATGCTACACTGAAAATAATCCATGATCAACTTTACGAAAAAAAATTCGTAACTTCTATTTCTTATTTTAAAATGAACAAAAATATTTGCATAAATTAATATTTCGTAAATTTTATCATATTTATTCAAAATTCACTTTTTTCAATTTATGTATGTAAATTAATTTTTCCAAGATTATTTTGCATTATACTAAAATATTTCGTACAATTTCTTATATATTACGAAAGAATTTCGTGGTGCGAAACAACGAACGATTCGTACAATGTACGACATTTTTCGTATATATTAGGCATGGATTTTTTTCAGTGTATCTACATTATTTCTTATAACTTTTGAAGAGATCGATAGATCTGAACCAAATTTTCACACTGTATAAGTTAAATCCAGTACAAACAAGTTTTTTAAAAGAACTAAATTTTACGAAGAAATCTCAGCAAGTTTAATTTTTTATATCTACACAGCAAAAAATAGTGCTTCCTCAGAAGCAGATGCCAGAAAGTTGAAAACATTAAGAGAACATTAGAAAAGAATTAACATTTCTGTCGAATATTCTTCAAAACTCAAAGTTTATTGAATTTTGAGCAATAATATTCCGTATTTTTCGAATTTTACATAAATATGTATTAATATTATAAATTTTTTAATATATTTCATCTTAAAATATTGCAATATTTTTAATTTTTTATAAAAAGGTTAAGCTTTTCATATTTTCCGATTTTTTTGACGATTTCTGAAAACCAAAATGACGATTATTTAAAAATTTATTTTAGGTGTATTTCTTCGGATTTGATGTAGTATACATCCTCCTATCAACCTAACCTAACCTAAAAATTTATCGGAAAATTGACGATTTTTTCAAAAATTTATCTGGCAGCCCTGTTTGTATATTTCAGTAAATATATTATGTTTATAGTGATCAGTTGTGTGAATAGTAACACATTGTGAAATTTTGTAATGATTTTATTTAAAATTTAATATGTAAATAAAAAATAAATTTAATATATAATAAACATAAGTGAGAGATTAGTGAGTATAAACAATTTTAAATTATTCATAAAGTAAGAGAAATAAAGAAAATGTATTATAAAGTCGCTTTTAGTACATAAAATAATGTAAAATTAGATAAATTTCCAGTTTCCCTTTTTGCTATGGCAAAACTGGAAATTTTACTAATTTTACGCACTTTTATGCTATAAAAAAGTAACTTAAAACTGAAACGAAATCGACTCACTAAGTAAGTATTAAACAGGAGAAACAGTTTCTTACCAACTTTTTTCCTTTCAAATTGTGCAATATTAGATGTTTTTTAGATATTTTTACTTACACGTTGTTCTGTTATGGATACTATTTAGATAGCAATTGTTTGCAGGGCATTTGATCAAAACTTGTTTATGTGTTAGTAATTTATTCCAGCAATCATTGAGGAAGAAGAAGCATAAATTTCATTTTTATTTAAATTTTGCGACAGCAACATCATTTTTTACCGCATAGTGATAAAAAAATTTATGAAAAATTTTATGCGATATGTGTCTATACTGTTACACATAACATTTTTACCATTATTATAAATGTAATTTTTGTTATAAAAAACAATTATTTTTTTTTTATTAATGAAAAATTGTTTTATTTAAAAACTGGATATTTTTCTTTGTATATTTCAAGTAAAATTTGGTACTGGTACTGTGCAAATTTTAAAAAGTTTTAATTGCATATAAATTATGTGTTTTGTTAATATATATACATATTATGAAGTTTTATTTTATATTTTTTACAGCAATTAACTAATAATTTACTTACCTCCAATAAGAAAATTGAAAAGAAACCCAAAAATAAGACCAAAACAAGTTGAAATGGTATCGTGCGAAAGAGACACATATATTTTTTTGCAGTGACGCCTCTGTATACAACATCAAACCAGGTTGTTTACTGTGGTTATCCTTTCCGTGAGTATAGCTACGCCGAATTGCACTAGCTGTGGTATTTAAAAATTCCTGTGCAGACAATTTTACATTTTACCTTTTTGCCTAAAAATATTTTGAAATACATAAACATAAGTACATATACATACATACATATGTATACATATACCATATATTCATATACTAGAGCCCTGCCAACAATTTCTATCCAAATTGTGACTATAACATAACAGCTTAAAGTTTAAAACAATCTACTTTGATATCATCTGAGTTCGTAAGAAACTGTTCCGCCTGTTTAATACTTACTTGATGAGTCGATTTCGTTTCGGTTTCAAGTCACGTTTTTACAATATAAAAGTGCATAAAAGTATGTAATAAATTTCCAGTTTTGCCATAACAATAGGGAAACTGGAAATTATTCTAATTTTACACTCTTTTATGTTATAAAAGCGACTTTATAATACATTTTCTTTATTTCTCTTTTTTCTTGCATTATGAATAATTTAAAAATTGATTTATACTCACTAATCTGTCACTTATGTTTATTATACCCTACACCACTTTAGTGGGGAGGGTATATTGGGTTTGTGCTGATGTTTGTAACGCACAATAATATTGGTCCTATACCCTTAAAGTATACCAATCGGCTCAGAATCATTTTCTGAGTCGATTTAGCTATGTCCGTCCGTCTGTCCGTCCGTCCGTCCATGTAAACCTTGTAATCAAACTACAGGTCGCAATTTTGAAGATAATTCAATGAAATTTGGTACATGATCTTCTATTGTCCATGGGACGAAGCCTATTGAAAATGGTTAAGATCGGTCCATTATTTCACCTAGCCCCCATACAACTGAACCCCCCAATAGGGCTTGTAATCCTTGTAATCAAACTACAGGTCGCAATTTTGGAGATAATTCAATGAAATTTGGCACATGATCTTTTATGGTATCGTAGACGAAGGCTATTGAAAATGGTTAACATCGGTCCATTATTTCACCTAGCCCCCATACAACTGAATCCCCGAATAGGGCTTTTAAAACTTGTAATCAAACTACAGGTCGCAATTTTGGAGACAATTCTATGAAATTTGACACATGATCTTTTATGGTACCGTAGATGAAGCCTGTTGAAAATGGTTTACATCGGTCCATTATTTCACCTAGCCCCCATACAACTGAACCCGCCGAATAGGGCTTTTAAGTTCATAATTATGTTTAATATACTCATATCTCGACAAAAAGCTGCAATAACCAAGTTGTATACAAGACTTGATGACCCCCACGAATTCTATAATAATAGGTTCTCATATGATCCTAGCCCCTATGGAAAGCCCCCATCAAAATTTCACTTAAATGTCCACAATTTTATTCAACAATAAACGGCTTAAGTATGTATATCTAAGGCAAGGTACAATTCAACTTAAATGCTTTATTATGGCAACTAAATCACATTATATTTTCGTCAAAGGTGTAGGGTATTATATGGTCGGCCTCGCCCGACTATAATTTCTTACTTGTTATATATTAAACTTATGTATGTTATTTATATATTAAATTTTAAATTAACACAATTTATTACAAAATCAAAATTTCACAATGTATCATGCAACTGATCACAATGAAACAAATATATTTACTGAAATGTGCAAACACTTTTTCTTCCGAATTTTGAGAGCAAGAATGATTCTGCATTAAATTATCTTGTTAATGTATAAAAAGTGTTAGTTTTTTAAATTTTTATTCTACCTAATTATTATAATTTAAGTTTCTTTTTGGTTTATTAAAATGCACTAAAATTTTACATAATGGTTTCGGATTAACGGAACTCCTTAACATCATTCGTACAAAAACAAATCAATGCAATTAACACGTAGTTTCTGAAACAAAAGTTTCCGTGTTTGGACCGGCACTAAACAAAGATTAGTAATGCCCGTTTGCTGAAATCTCAATCGATAACAAAACACCAAAAAAAAAAACAACAAACAAAATATGATTTTTCTTATAAATGAAAGGATATTTAAAGTTAACAAATCATGTAATATCATTAAAAATATATTATTGTTTTAAAACTTCGTATTAGAAACATGTTACACTGGTTTCCCGGTTTAACGAATACTCAGTTTAGCGAATTCGCGATTTAACGAACGGGCAAATTGTTTCCATTGAGTACGAATGAATGAGTAAATTTTGTACTCGATATAACAAATTTCTAAAAATTTTCTATAAAAAGAGGTGAAAATAATACGGAAAGATAACTAAACTTCTCTATTAACCAAAAGCATAACATATTCAGATTTTATGTAAGTTCAATACCCAATTCAATGGGTAAAAAATCTACAAATACAAAAATCCGGGAATATGAATGAAAATAACATTTAAAAAATTATTTTCGGAAATATAAATAAAATTTATTAAATACATTTTAATATACAATTCTTTATTTAAGGGAATATTATGATTATTTTACTAATAAAGTGAGAATTGTTTGTAATGAAAATTACCATAAAATACTTAGAATTTCACATCGATTAAAATGGACATCAAATCCCAATTTTTTATAAGAGAAAAATAAATTTTCGAAATGAAACAACTTTAACTTCATTAAACAAAAAATATTTTACCTAATTGTAATAAAATTTTTAATTTTGGTTTGATTGCAAATTTAACAAAAAAAAAACTAATTTCAATCTTTTGCACACTGCATAAAAATGTATGGAAATTGTCAAAAACTTTATGGGTACATTCAAAAAGATT